CTCCTTCTTCTCTTCTTCTCTTCTTACAAATTATATTTTGAAAAAAAATTCTTGCTTTTTAAAGAATTGTTTTAAATATAATTTATTGTTTCTTTAATAAATATTTTGTTTAATTTTGTTTGTATTACCATTTATAATATTATTGTTCAAGTAAATTGCAAATGCTGCAAATACTAGTGGAATAAAAGATAAACGCAATGTCTTTGTCGCATTGAAAATGCATTCTTTGTTTGCTTCGTGCTCATATCGTTTTTCCGGCAACGACAGACGTCACATGCATGGCCCACGCGATTTCGCAGCATTAATTAGAAGATACGGCAGATTGCATTCGGTGAACAGAGGCTTACGGAATGGACAATGACGCAATCGGCCAATTTCGCTGGCAAAAACGTTCAATTAAATGGTTCGTAAATCACTATTGTCACATGTAGGTGCAGATCCGCGATAAAATTTGCAATTTCTAGCGTGTCACTAACGGGAGGAGAAACTTGCGCAAGCTTATTTGGCGTGAAAGTAAAAGAAGATTGACTGTGTTTTTGTTATGCTCTGAGATGCATTCGTTAGAAAACATCAAGCTATGTAGTATCATTGATTCCTTTTTCCTACATTGCATTAACACGAATATTCAAACGATTATAATCAATACAAAGCATGACGTTACATGACATTATAGAATTATCGTAAAATCATTACATTTGTGTCGATATGTATAATTAATTGGAATTTATGTTATTTTAGTTGCGTTATCGATATTATAATACTTCTAAAAATTTATTCTTTACATTTAAAAAAAATATAATCATAATTATTATGTAGTTTGTTGTACATAATATAGGGAACAATCAATATTTTTTTATAATTGATTATTTAATTCAATATGTTCAATATATAATATAATTTACATAATATTATAGGCTAATGTGTATACGTATATATTCGAAACACATGCTTTCGCTTGTATAAATTTTTTCTTGTGACATGATGAGATAAATTTTAATTGGGCAAATAAATCCTCGATAATTTATTTACTTTTCTGTCGCCAATTTTGGCCGCCAATTGATTCGATTCGGATGATGTCGATATCGAAATTAGATTAAATTCCGGTTACAAATATCGGAATACATTAAATCAAACATATACGTAATATCAGTGTTCGTTAAATACGTACTAACTGTATAATGGCATAAGTAGTAATTTAAACATTAATATTTTATATGTAATATTCATATATGTATATATGTATATATGTATATATGTATATAGTATGTTAATAACATAAATAATATGTTATAATATAAATTATAGTGATGAAGTACGCCATATATTTTGAAAATATTAAACATTAACACATTTTCTACAGAACTAATCATTATTGTGTTATAACAAAATATTCGTAGAAAGCTTCCTCCTTAAAAATAATTACATTAAAATATAATATCCAGTAATAATAGTTAATAAAATTTTGTTTTAAACGAGAGAGACATAATTACACAATATAATTTTCATTATAGATATTGCTTTTTTAATCTATGTACAAGTTAAAATCAGGAATACATTTTATAAAGACAATACATAAATTTTCTTGTTTAATATTGCGTAATACTAAGATTTTAATAAAATCATTAGATGTAATTATGTGTTGGGCTTTATTGTAAAAAAATTTATTTGATAATCTATATTATCATATTTTGGGAAAATATAAATAAATGCAAAAGAATAAATACTTATGAAAATTAAAAATTTTTATTATCTTGATTAAAATAAAAAATATTATGTTTAGCAGTATTATGCATATAATGTATGTATAAATAAGTAAAAATAAGAATGTAAATAAATAAAAAATGCAAATAAAATATAATTTTTTATGCTTTTTAATTGATAAATTCGTTAATATTCGAAACTTACTAGTGTTTATCTTCCGTTGTTCATTTTTTTTTCAAGGTAACATACATAATCATTAACATACATTGGAAAAACAATGCTTTTAATAATGTTTTCGATTAATAATGCTCTTGGGCTATACATATACAGCATGTCGGTAACAATCGTATCTCGTGTGCACATAAAGCGGATTAAATCGAGTAAAAAAATCCTCTATTGTTTTGCGATTTTGGTAATTTTAATAAGAAATTAATTTAAAAAAAATTAATCAATATTCGTGCGAATACAAGCATGCGCAAAAAAAGACTATTACGCAGTTGCTAAGGACAATACATAATTAACCTTATACTTGGATTGGGCGGATTTGTAAAAATAATTTTTTATTAATTATGATGAAAATCGCAATACAGTAGAGAACTTTCTTATTCGGTTTAATCTGCTCTATCTGCGCAGAAATGATACGATTATTATCAAACACCCTATATAAAAGCAATACTAGAAACCTACGACCTTATTTCATCTCACAGTCATATATTTTGTAACAATCCAGATGAATGGCGTGTAACATGCAATTTCAATTCACTTGAAAGCCTTCATAGTAAACTATTGTGTTGATTGCCAGTTCGATTGCGCACAAAATTCGCAAAACACCTGCCTATAGAAAATTGACAAGTTATAAAATGTAATTAATAACTGCATATACTTATCTGTAAATAATTATAATCTTTATTATGTGTTTTGTATTCGACAAATTCATATAAAAAAAAAGATATAAACTTAAGCAGGAAACGAGTCGATCGATCATGACTGATCACTCTGGAGAAAAGTAAATCATTTGAAATTTAAAACTGTGTCGATTCGTTTACTACATAATTAAATTCTACTATTTGCTGCTTCTTTTATGTATCGTAACTTTTAATGCAAATCTTTCAGGTTTCTCTGAAACGCTTGAGTGAAAACACGAGGAAAAACTTGCGACTACTCCGTATGGATGTATCAAGAGTGCTGCTGCTCACTTTTACGATTTAAAGCAAACATTTCGAGAGATACCCGTAATATTTTCCGTAGCGCACTCTTAACTCAGTCGACCTTCGATAAACGGTAATGTTTTAGTATCCCTGAGCAGCAGCCCTCATGAGCGCGTGAAATACGATCGTTTTAAAGTTTCCGCATGGCGAAGGGACGGCCATGGGGTTCTGCACATCTCCACTAAGTTTCAAAGAGGCAGCACAGTAAAAAAAGCAATAAAAATTATGCCGGTTTAGTTCTCAAGTTTGTATGTGAAAGCAAATTACAAAACGACATCTTTTAAATAAAATTAATGAGATCCATTAAAAAAGTTTGATAATTCGTTTCATGCTCTGTAACACTTTCAGCGCAACGTTCTAAAAACGATAGCACGAATAGCTTCTCCGGTTCTTCTAATTGAGAAACTTTATTTATTATCATTATTTTGTTTTTTTTTACAGGTTTTTAGTTTACGGTTTATTTTATATTTTTTGAAACAATAAAGAAATTGCTCTTCTTTATTTTTCCGATAATAGACTTGAAGATATGTGTGGCATATTTCATATACGTTTATTGCCACTTTTATGTAAAATAAAATGTGTAATAAAAAATTTGTCTATAATTGTATTTAAATTATAAATATACATATATGTTTATGCGCATATGTAGATATATAAAAACTTTTTTAATTAATAAAATTTTTTTAAAAAGAGAAAGAAAACAATAAAGCACACTATAATTTTAATCATAAGACTAATCAATTTTAAATATATTAACAGGAAACTTATTATTTAAAGAAAAACAAAAGAAACAAGAGATAATTTAACATCTTAAGTAATTTATAATTAACTTTATATTTTATATTTCATATTTTATGTAACTATTTATTTCTTTAATAAATGTTATTTTTATAAAATTTATTTTATAATAATAATTATTTTGCATAAAATTTTGAACTTAAATAATTAAAAGATGATAACATTAAAATAAATTCTAAAACATTATATCACATTTAATGTAACATATTCTTCTCTTTAAAATTATCATTTCGCAATAATAGTTATTTAAATAACAATCATTCAAATAATCAATCATTCATGCAATTCATTAATGCGATAAAAGCGAACATGTTTTATAGAACAAGGATGGCGTCGGAGAAAGCATAAACTAATTTTGTTTTTCTAATTCGATAGAGAATAATGTATAAATGTAAATGTGTCAATGAAAGGAAGGTTATTGCCTTGTCGGTTTACTGAAAGAAAGCAATAATCCGCAACTATAAAGCTGGGAGTAAACTTTGCATAAGCGTTGAAATGTAGATAACTTTTTTGCACTTGAAAAAAGGACATACACTTGATCTTTCTCTTTTGTCTATTTCTCATTTTCCAGTTCTGGAGTCTTGCAAAGTACATCGGATTTCTTTCGTCTCATCCGATTTGTCTTCAGGTGAAAGCTGAAAGAAGCTGTCTAGCGAGAAACGAATTCTTTTGAGATACTTCGTACTGTAATTCATTCATCTATGCATAAAGAGTAAGCTCTTCAATTGGTCGCCTCAATTGCAAGCAACTTTTATGGAAGGACCTCTAGATGGAATTTGCTTCTTTTTGCAAGTGCACTTGAAATAATGTAGAACATAATTCTTTTTTCGGTGTACTTTTGTTTTTCTTTTTAATGCATTTGTATAAAGAGAATAGAGAGGTCGCAACTATTTTATATTCTTATGTTATTAAAAGAATTCAAAACTATTTCAATAAAAAATAACAAAATATATATTAATATCATAGTTAGAAAATCATTTAAAATATTAAAACAATCTTTTATGAAAAAATTATAATAATTTTCAACTCATGTATAGAATGTGTCACACTGAAAGAGAAAGATATTGAGTACGTGTTTTACTAGACTAGTCTTGTACTGGCAATGGAAGGGCGAAAAAAAGTCTCATCAATCCTATATAAGACTGTTGATCTTCATCATCACTTGCTACAGTTACTATGATCGATCCTTAAACGTGAAGAAGTTCTTGAAAATTACATATATGTAATTTTTGTCAGCTAATTTTTTTTAAATAATAGGGAAGAAAAGAAATTTATAATAAAAAACGATTCATGATGTGCCATACGATAGTTCTGGTGAGCCTGTCATAAATATCTATGTGATTGTGATATTTCTAAACTTAAGTGTGTGTTCTTTCTTTAGATTATCTTCGTCGCAATGATGGTAGTTACTGATGCATACAAAAGCAAGAGAGATATTTCTTTTTTCAATGCGGATATCGCATCTCATCGCAAACCTCGTCCGCGAAATTTCTTTGATAATCAATCATTTATCAACAAGATGATCGAGCAGCAAACTTCACCTATTAGAGCAGTGAGAGATCCAAATATTAACCAGCAATCTTTTCACGATCTGCCCTTGAAAGATCACATTATCTATCCGTCTGAGTTTCCAATTCTTCGTCATCAACCGTTTCAAAAGAATTCTTTTACGGTAACATCATTTAAAGATAAACCGTTGTTCAGAGATGCAATATTAAAAAATCAAGAATTGCGAGGAGAACGAGAGGTTCTCAAAGATAATCCTTTCATTGAACAATCATTTACATCAGAGGAAATCTTTGAGAGACAAGCACCTACTTATGAAACACTGTTTGAAGAGCAGTTGTTTACGAATGAGAAACCATTTAAAAATTTACATTATGAACAGTTGCCTTCAAGTGAACTAACGTCTCAGAAGCAAACGACTCTTGTCGATTCTCCTTCCATCTCCAATTTGATCAAGTTTGATCAAGGTGAATCTTATAATAAACTCATTGATTTGTATGAACGACATAAGGATATACAAACTTCGTCCAATAAAGCAAGACTTTCGACGTACACTAAATATGGTAAATTTATGCATATTACACATACACACACATATACAATTATATATATTTACATATGCAGATATAATTTTGATATTAAAATCTTAATATATACATATTAGAATCTTAAATAATATTATGTTAGCAATTTTCATGACATACATAATCTTCTCTTCTACTCTTCAATCTTCTTTTTTCTAAACTTTTTAAATTTAAATGTAAATTATTTTATGAGAAACTCAATATTGAATTTTTTTACTAGAATATGAAACAATTTTTAACATAGCGATTGTTAATTGAAGCAGTAAATAGGTTTATTCTCTTGGTATTTTAATTTGATTGTATCATGTCAGTTATTTTTTAATACAGTAAAATTTAGCTTTGGAATTATTTATATTACGTATCTATTGAGAGGGATATAATACCTCAACATTTAACATGTGTGTGTGTATATAACATATATGTTCTCTCGTGCGAGTTTAAAACGGAATTATCTTTCTCTCTAGAGATCAAAATTTTGTTTTACGATACAAATGTTCATGTTCTTTTATCATAAATATATATTAAGGAATGCTTTTATAATGTATTATTTATTCAAACAATGCCGAAAATAATATGTTATAGATAATCGTGAATTGTCGATGCCAATGGGTTCGTCTTTCAAACATCTTTTTCCATTAAACATTGAAACATCTCCGTCACCATCAACGTCCATTCCTGGATCCAACTTTCCCATATCTTCTATTCCTTCAAGTATTGATGAAATTTATTCGTCAGACGCTGTCAAGATAAAACTCCGTTCAACGCTAATGCCGGAATCGACTACATCATTGCCGGGTAGTTGTACTGCGGTAAGCAAAATTTATGACAATTATTTCAGTTACAAACTGAAATGTTACATCTTGCTTATATTGAATTTAATTTTCAAAAAGCAAAACATATTTTGTGATAATTTTAACATATGCAATTTTACGAATAAGTACAATTCATAAATAAAAACCGTCAAATTTGACAACTCTTTATCAAGAGTTATCCATTATATATTTTTATTTATATTAATATAAAATAAACAAAATTTTTAGATGTTATTAAAATTTTACGTTACATTATATATAAAATTTTGTAATTTATGTCAATTATTAATTAATTTAAACTTATATTAATTGTATTAAAAAAAAAATATATATATATGTGTATATTATAATAATATATATTATAATATACATTAATATAATAATATATATTAATAAAACTTATATATATCAAAACTTAATATATATTATAATAATTTTTTGTTACAATAATAATTGCGTATAAATTTGCATCTTTCTTATTATTAGTTAAACAATATTAGCTTAACAATATTTTATTTACTATTAATTAAATAACACTTATGAAGTTCGTAAATTTATAATTTTACATTAATAATTATATAATATACAACTATAATATACAGTGGAATAATAAAAAATTGTAGAATGCACAAGAGAACGAGATAAATATATAAAAAAATATATGTGGCTTGAATTAACAACGGATCAATTAATAAAAGCTTGTTATTGTTTTTAGCCAATCGACAGCTCCTCAACAACCATTCCATCAATCTCAGTTAACACAAACCAATCTTCGATTGTAGGTCATATCTTAACGAGTTTAATAACCAAGCCCAGTTCGCCTATCATGGATACGACAACATCAATAACGTCGTTCGCCGGAAAGTACGTAATGGCTGTCCGGAACTCTAATATTTGTTTGATTAGTACAACAATGTAGATACACAGTGTAAACTCGTAAAATCACTCAATTTTTTATAACAAGAGTACCATTTAAATATCGTTAGAGTTTTATTCGATTATGTTACTGCAAATTGCTCTATATAAGAATTGATATAATTGATATTGATTAGCATTAATTTTAATAATTATTTTGTATTTAATAATTATTTTATAATTGATATTGTATTTTAAATAAAATTTCAAGGGTATAGATTTTTAAAGTAATTAATGTCATTAAATTTTTTATTGTTATATTTTTTAATTACATACTACATACATAAAGAAAATTCTTAAATATTTAATCATAAAATATCTTGAAAATTAATATACTTGTTATTAATTTTTATTTCTCAATAATTAATTTTATGATTGTAGAATTTTTATAATTATGTGAAAAAAGCATATCAACATATTTATCGTATTTTGAATAATTTACACAAAATAATATTTTAATTATTCCATACATTTAAATCTAGCTTTCGTTTGATTTAGCACCCTCAGACCAATTCAGTTTTACGCTACTAAACATGGAGTTATTGTGACACCTTCTCTTCCCACTCAAAATGAGTTAAAGAGCAACATACATGCTCACTTGTTCATAAACATACCGAAGAACAGTTTCACGGCCAATGAGCAGGATCTTAAATTCCTAGTCCCGGAAACGCTGAAGGATGACATGAAAATTAGTACCCATAATCCTATGTTAAACTACATTTTGTCTGAAGAGCAGAAGAGCGAGTTGAAGGATGTTCGGAACTCCTTCACAAACTATGCGTTGCCCAAGGGATTTAAATACGGTTGGCCTTTACAACAATTCTCACCAAAAACATCATTCGCTCTACTATCTCTGAACGAAAAGACAAATTTCGTTCTATCAAACGTATCTACCATACCCATTTCGATTACTTCTCGGCCGATTGAGACTAGCAACGATTTCGCTACAATGTTACCGCTGAAGTCCACAGTAGCATCAAACACGGCGACAAATAATAATTTACCATTAAGTATGATTATAGCTCATTATGATATCTCATTAGGCGATAACAAAAATTTATTGCTGTCCAAATAAATTCAATTTTTTTTTTAATTTTCTTTTTTCTATCTCTTCTCGTTTAACTTATGTTAATTACCACCGATATTTTTGCATCTCAATGATTTTTATGAATTTATTACATGTATAATAAAAGAAAAGATGATTTTTTTTAAATCACAATTTTTTATGGTTCAGATTTTGTTTTGTAATATTTTATATTTTTTTTTGCAGGCGCAAACTTACCTTTAGACTTTATGGGAAGCATACCAAATAATCTGACTCCAAATATATTTGAAAGCATAACTGGTGGCATATCAACAGGCATACCTAGTGCAATGATGGCTGACATGCCTGCGAGCATACCAACTTTGAATCTTGGGCAAAGTTTACATCACATAGAACAATTACAAACTCAAGAGGCAAGAAATCCCTGGTACCCCACAGGTATCTTAGCTATATGGTCTTATATCTCTCTTTGATTCTGGATGTAATGCTGTAACATTTAACGCAATATGATTTTCTCCGAAAATACATACATTCGGCGAGAACGCTTCAGAATTTATAATAGAATAATAATATAATTTAGCGCATATTTATATTTTGGTAAATATTTATCTGTAAAATTCTTCAAATTTTTTTATGAAATTTACGTATAAATTGAAAATTTTGCACGATATCAGTTCAGATTGAAACCAAACTTTATGAGATACTTGCAAATTCTACAAGACTTATAATTAAATTCTAAACAATGCAAAGAAGTTTGTATTATTCATTATTTATATAATTATTTATATATATCATTATTTTTTTATCAAATCTTATGACAAATATTTTGAAAATTTAAAATTAAAATATATACATTAGATCAATATTTTAAAGCAATAGTTTCGTACTCTCTTTTATTTTAAGATTATAATAAAAAGAGAGAGATTTTTTGGAGAAAAATCTAAAGAAGATAAACCTAGATCAAATATATGCATGTTTTTGTTTCTTTGCTTTTGCAATTTTTAATATAAATTCTCCTAACAATCTGCTGATTATACTTAAAGATTCATTTGTTGAATAACTGTTTTGCACAATCGACAGATGTAACGCTATTAATATACTTTGCAGGTTTGCAGCTGCAGCGGCTAGGCAGCTTTGGCGGAATAAATTACACGTTACATATGGGTAATCCGACCACAAAACCGTTGGAGCTTATGATCCCGGATACAGGCTTAACTCTGCCGAAATTATCATAACCGCATGCAAAAGTAAGTTCTTAATATATGATTGAGAGTTTCGTAATATGATACTTATGCCGTTCGAAAATCTTATTGATAACGAATATGTAAATATTTGATCGTTTGTAGTATTTTGTTAATTACAAGCATTATTTTTGTTTTGCTTTTCTTCTTTCTATCTTAGCCTACGTATTTTTAAAACATCTTTGGATATACCATTTTCTTTAGTATTTTATTCGCTTTATTAGATATTTTTTTTCGCATTCGTGGCGCCATATTTTACAATTTTATATTTCTAAGCAAATATATTGCAAATTATGCACTTTGAATAAACATATTTTAAGCAAATTATGTACTTTGAATAAACATATTTTCAATGTTATAAAGATACTTTCGAAATGCGAATGAAAAGCTAGCATTAAAAGAACAAAACCATATTGCTTCTCAGAAATTGTCATTAAATTCATACATTTATATTGCACTTTGCAATGTAGTTAAGAGCTCACTAAATTCATTATTTCTTTTATTAGACTGAATTAATTCAAATCCATTTAAAATATAAATGTCATTTTCTTAAATGAGACTAAATAATAAAATTAAATAAATATATAATATTATATAATTATATCAAATTGAAATAAATTTAATATTTTTAATATACTCAATTAATTAAATTAGTAAATAAGTTACTACAATTCAATTTATAATTATTTAATTACAGTAATTAAATTAGTAAATCATTTAATTTAGTTTAATTTAATTTAATTCAATTTAATTTAATCAATTTTCCACAGAAAAAGACTTAATACGAACATATTTTTAAAAATTAAAATTTTTTTTCATTTAATATTCTTTATACAATATTTTCTTCATGATTACACAAGATTTATTTTGCAAAAATATTTATATTATATTTATATTACGATTTATATGTAGAATCATATATATATCATCATATATTTTAAATAACTGAAACGAGAGGTAGAATAAAAAACTCTGTAATTTGTACATATAAAAATCTGATACATTTATATATTAGATTTAAAAAATAACGGAACAAAATAAATATTATGAAAAGATATTAAAATATTTTTTTATTAAATTTATTTTTATTTATAATATTTCTCATTTTTCTCTAATTACTAAAATAAAAAAGAAATATATTGAATATGTAAGCCTAATAAAGTAGTAATTAAAAAATCAATTAATTCAATATTTATCGTTACATATATTTTAAAGTGAAAATTTCAATATTCTACTCTATTATGTTTTAGAAGTACGTCTGTTCGCTTCAACAAATGCCATCGAACGTTGGAAGTTCGTTGGTAGAAGCTTATGAATATGGAACGCGTATTCACGAGATATTAATTAGTAAACCAATTTCGTTAATCATACACGTGCCTGACAATTCTGTTAATTCATCGGCATACGTAAACTTCAGTTGTTTGATCGAAACGCAAAATCAATTTATTGCAATATTACATTAGAATGAGTCAGATCTCGTATAAATTCTTTCTTCAATATTGTATTAATATAAAAATAAAATTGTCTAATACACACAAAAAAAATTTAATTATTTTTTAAACTTTTAAATATCCGATTATTATTGCAATGTTGAATGTATAGAAAAAGAATAGAAAGTCGCGCATTATAATAGGAAATATTTTATCACATATCATTTATTATATATTTTTAATTATTTATGAGATTATCATGAAAATGAAAAATATAAATAGCGTGATATACAATATAATAATTACAAAATTTATATAATTTATGAAACAGAAATTTTAAATATACATATATGTACAACTGCACTCGAGAAAAAATGAGTATAATATGGTCAGATGTAAATATTTTACATAATTATATGTAAGAAGATCTGGTGACATATATAATTTTATATAACTATATATATAATAATATCCGAAATTTGACGCGAGATGATCTTATTTTTATATAATCATTAAATCAGATTATATATGAAGACAGATCTGATCAAATATGATGATTATATAAGATCATTAATGTAAAATAATTATATAATTATATATAATAAAAATCATATATAATTATTATATGATCATATAATACTTATAATATGTGTATAATCTTACATTAATTATATAAATTTACGTATTTTTTTGAGGCAACATCAAAAAATTACATAGCAAAAAATGAATATTTAAATAGTATTCCACACTCTTACGGATATTTTTCCAAAAAAAGAGAAGAAAAGAAAATATTTTATTATATTTAATTACATTTTCTTTTAATAGCAAATATTGAAAAATAGATGCCTTTTTCGAGAATAAAAATTTTTTTGTCTAAAAACAGAAATGTTTCGCGTACTTTTCGTTTAGATACATGTCGCTCGTAAATCCTTCAAAAATTTACCATATAATACGATGTTGCAATTCCGTATACCGAGTACCAGGTGTTGGTTCTTCTCTTACAAAGCTATAAGATAGAAAGGATGAAAATAGGAAAGAAATAAAGCGTCTCGTCCGTAATTGCACCTCAGTTTCTTATTTTACATTAATTACAGCAGAGAAATTTCTCGACTGGAAAGAGAAGAAGATGTATGTAGCACAGATCGTTGTGTTTGCTTTGCAGCGGTAGTAATTATTTTTGCATTTAATAAATTATGATTAATTGTGACAGATTGTGTGTATGTATGTATTATATATACGATATATATAATTATAACGAAATAGATATATATATATATATATACATATATATATATACACATATATTTCGTCATAATTAATCATATTTATATTAAATAAAAAATAATTACTGCTGCTACAAAACAAGCAATAGTTTGTTCTATATATGTACACGTACACATATACATATAGGTACATTTACATATATGTATATATACTTACATATGTATATTTATATATATAATAATAAATAAATAAATAAATAAATAAATATATATATATATATATATAGAAATAATATATAAATATATATATATATATATATAATATTCTATATATATATATATAGAAATAATATATAAATATATATATATATATATATATATTTATTTATTATTTCTAAGTCAAAAATATAAATTATATATTTTATTATTATTTTATTTTAATTATATATTTATTTCTAAATCAAAAATGCATTTTAAAGCTTACCGAAAAAAATAAAATTAAGCGAATAAAAATTAAACTTTCAAACGTCAAACAAATTGACAAGTTTGACATGGAAACATTATCTTAAATTTATTTTCTTATGAATTTTATTCTTCTCTCTTTTTATTTTCGTATTTTTTCACTTTTTATTTATTATTATTATTTTGTTTATTTCTCTTTTTTCTATTGTTCATCACATGACCAAGAACCTCGATGCTCACAGAAGTATAAACGGTCGAACTCCCAGGATACCCTTTATTCCTCAAACGTCCGTAAAAGTTGGCACCGAACGATTTTGCTGTAGATTGAATTTTGCTGGCGGCCGTAGTAGTTGGCTGCGACCATTGTCACTGCAGATTGCATTGAACCGAATCAATGTAGCCACATGTGTGTAGTAGACTTGAGCTGCCTTGTCACATTTAATGACAAAAATTATTTGATCGGAATGAAGGTTTTATTTTCATGATAATATAAAAAAGAAATTATAATGTAATACATATTGTAACAATATGTTTTTAACATATATTAACATACGTTTACATTAAATTTATATATATATATATATATATATATATATATATTAAATTTTATCGTTTTTTTATTTTATTAATAATTAATTAAAAGACAAAAAAACATTATAAATATATTATTTTTTAATATAAATAATTATGCATATATATTATATATTTGATTTTAATTTTTATATAAAAATAAATTATTAAATATATCAAGCATGTATTTTTATATATCATATATATGTATTTTTTAATTAATTAAATTTTATACATATATAATGTGATTGTTGCTGCAAGTGTTTCTTTCATTTCATTACTTTGCATATTCTTTTTCATCTCCTTTAATTCGTGATTCAAATTGATAGATTATATTCATCCCCTATTACTTTTATTATTTTTTGCAAGTTGTGGACTTAACGTAAATTTTACACTTAATTACGTCTGGTGAGAATAATATAAGTTTATCTTGTTTTCCTCTCCACTAAAATTTCTTCACGCGGTACAGTGAATAATTTACTTTCAGTTTACGTTAGATTACTTTATTCCTGCATTTCATGAAGATAGCATGAACGATTTAATTGCAAATTGGATTCGCCAGTGCTGTCGTTATTTTTCATTATTTTAATCGTAATTGAAATTCTTGCAATTACAAAGTCTTTTTATCGTGCGTTTTCAGCACAAAATTGCAACTCATTTTAATACACGTGCCTTGCCAAAACTCATTAACGATGTTATTTTACGTGATATTCATTAATAAGTGAAATATGTGGAGAAGAGATACTCTGATGCATTGGTATGTTTATTTAATTTGAAACGTTTATTCAAATTAATCATGTTTATTATATTTACATAGTTATATATTTATATTTATTTATTGTTGTTTCTTTTGTTAATGTTGTAAATAATCAAAAAATAGGAAAAGATATATGTGATTCGAGGGAAAAGATTACAAGGATTTTTAATTTATACTATAATTTATTACTTTTAACAAGTGTGTCTTTCTCTGTATATGCATGTCACGTATTGATGTGTCTTGCGTATTTTTCACGCTCTCTTAAATATGTATAGATATTGCCTTCAGTACATACAGCATTTTTTAAATGTTTTCTTTAGTCGCAGTTTATAATTCTCAGCAAATTAAAGATTTTTTTCTTAAACCTATGCCCCCTGTATAGACCATTGGTGATAATAAATAAGAAATCCATAAGAAAAAACAGCATTCAATCTCATCGATATAACACGCGCGCACGTTTTATATATTTATGTCACATATAATATATTATATATTTTTTCATTTTATAACATTATAGCATTTCAACACTTTCATCCTCGAAAGACAACGTGCCAACTTTATCGT